TTGGAATGGAATTGCAATCAAATGAAAACATATACCAAAACAATATCGCAATCCTTTCGATGTCTCGAGTGGACGAAGACAGCGGTCGACCCACTGTTCACTTCAACCCTCCCTCTCATACCATCAATTCATCCGTCAGTATTCATAACCATTCATATGATTATATGATTATATCATTCATTTTATTACATTTATATGCAAATTATCTCTTATTTTACTTAAATTTATTTTTTAAATGCTTGCTTAAAACTAAATACTGTACCTTTGCGTCCAATCTTTAGTCAAAATCATAAATCTATAATAAATAAACAATATTTTCTATTAATGTCAAATATTATATATACAGTATTCTGTTATTGAATATATATTTAAAAATACTATAAATAGTGAGTTTAATTGTTCATTTTATTGATTAACAAAAAATAGCATATAATTAATAACGAGAAGAGATGGTTTCGGATCGGTTTCTATAACTTTGTCGTCTCAGCTCTGGTTATAATAAGTTTATGTGTAATCCTGGGAGTCGTCATCACAACTGTTAAAAACACACGAATCCATCCAAACGGTGACTCATTCCTCACTACTTTTCCATACATTTATCTTTCCATTCAATTCAATCATTTTTCAATTATTTTATTGATATTTTATTACAATAGATAAATATCTACTCGTATTCCGATTAATGTTACTCAAATATTAATATTATCCTAGAGTTTATATTAACTCAAAATAACTTTATGAATAAGTTGAAAATTGCTATTTTTAAAAATTGCTTTTAAGCAAACATACATTATTTTTGATATAAGAATTTTTATGCAAAATATATTAATATATAAATTTAGACCCATTACAAATCTGTAGAGCATACTGATTTTAACTAAAAATGTAAACAGATTATATGACCGAGTCGAAATTGTAGTGACCGCTAAACTTTTTTGTATAATTTTAATATATTTTGTTCAATGCAAGTCTATTATAAATAGTTGGGTTTTCCTAATACTATTCATATAAAAAGTTATAAAGTTTAGCGGTCACTACAATTTCGACTCAATCATATTATAATATTTCAATAGCAAAATGTTTATCAAAAGTTATATAAACTCAATATTAATAGAGTATATTTATAAATATACTCGTATATTCATAATCATAAAAATACACTATATTTTGAAATTTGTATCCAATAAAAGGTATCGCATCATCATTAGTATCACACAATGATTACGATAGGGAGCCGATTACACTGAATGATGTATTGGTGGGTAATCTGTCACCACAATTATTCAATGGCACCTGGGTCAAGGATACTATACTTTTCTATGATGAAGATAGTAATTTATGCACTTTAGATGTAAATCCATTACAAAAGCAAATATTAGTAACAAAAGAGAAAGTTGTAAGCATATTTATAGTATATTTATACTGAATTTAATTATAAAAACTTTAAATATGATTTAAAAATAGTTATCCAAACGACTTAATGGAGAGCTTCTGTCCAAAAACCATAAGTATTTATTGTCATCGTATGAGATGAGCAAAACATTCAGACATTCAACACTTTCTAAATACCAAATTTATGACATTTCAAATGAGTGAGAGTTATATATATTTTTATTATACAAAATTAAGATTATCAATGCATTTATTATGCGAGAATCAAAGCAAATAATTAGATGGATAACAAAATTGTAATTACAGTTCATTCATAGACTTATTACCCGAAGACCCACATTTCGAGAGCCAATTCATTCAATACATCGAATGGGGTCCCAAAGACAACCAAATTATATTTGTATTCAAAAACAATCTCTACTATAAAGCGGACGTTAATACCGTACCAATACAACTGACAAATACGGGAACTCCTAATATGATTTATAACGGATATTGCGATTGGGTTTATGAGGAGGAGATTCTGGAGGAGGAGAAGGCCTTTTGGATATCACCCGATGGACAGCATCTGGTGTTCGCCAAAATAAACGACACAAAAGTGGACACAATTACATGGCCTTTCTATGGGCAGTACTATAATCTGAGTAGTAATCAGTATCCTTCAGAAGTGGCCCTTAAATACCCAAAGCCGGGACGAAATAATCCATTGATTGAGATATTTGTACTCAATCTGAATGAAACGGTTGAGAACATAGAGATTGTTCGCCTCCTTCCGCCGGAATCCATTGCAAAAAAGTAATTCTTTTATATTTATTATAATATTGTTTATTAATGTTTTGTTTGTTTTTTAAATTAAGAGATTATTATTTCACAGCCATTGGATGGATAGATAAGGATAGGTTTTCCATCACTTGGTTAACGAGAGCACAGAATCACTCAGTCATTGATATTTGCGACAAGAATTCAATGTGGAATTGTAATACTGTATGAGTTTTATAATTATATTAACATTGTAGGCATTGCAAATTCAACACACAATTAATTTAATTATTAACATTTATAGACGTTTACATTGGACTCGGCAAACAGTTGGGTGGATCTATATGCAGCTCCCATCCCGGCTCCGGGACATAACTCATACTTTATTAAAGTGCCAGAACTGATCAGTAGCGCAGTTGGATATTATCATCACGTGGCCATGATCAATATTGAGGTTGAATTATATATAAATTAATTTTTATTTTGAATAATATGTACTGTTTTACAGAACCGAAAGGTAAAATACTTGACAAAAGGTATGTTCGATATCATCGAAATCGTGGCCTTCAATGAGGAAGAGGATGTGGTGTGAGTTTGTGAACCCGAGTATACATTCATCAGGTTTTGTAATGTTTGTTAAAACTTTCAAATAACAGATATTTTCTGTCGACTTTGCCCGAAAAGCCAGAGTTTCGACACTTAATGAGTGTTTCCATACACGAGGAGACAGTTTTGGATCCCATTTGTTTGACCTGTTATTTAGGGGAAAGTTGTCTCTATAACAATGTATTCTTCAATTCAAAAGCCGATTATTTTGTACTGAATTGTGAGGGACCGGACATTCCTCGGGTGGAAATCAGAAGAACTAAAAACAACTCAATTGTCGCTCATTTGGAAGAGAATACAAATCTTGAAGAAAAACTGAAACAAAAATTAATTCCAAGCACAAGAAAATTAAGGATAAAAACGAGTGACAATTTTTGTATGTATTTTACACTTATTTTACTTTTCAAAAAATATTGAATATAAAAAAACAAAACTATTCTGAAGTAAAATATATAATTTTTAATGAATATTTAGATTCAAACGTTGAGCTCGTTTTGCCGCATAATTTTGATGAGAAAAAGAAGTACTCCCTTATGATTGAGGTCTATGGAGGGCCGGGCAGTCAATTAGTTATTGACAAATATCGTGTTAATCATTGGGGAACACATTTAGCGTCTAATATGAGTATTATTTACGCCCGAATCGATAGCCGCGGTTCTGACAACAGAGGATCCAAATATTTACATGAAATCTACAAGAATTTAGGAAATGTTGAGGTCATGGATACTATCGTCACCGCGAGGTTTGTCTCTTTATTTAATTAATTGAAACATTTTAAAAGTAAGTTATAATAATTTTGTTATACAATATTAATAATAAATCTTGTCACCAGATATCTCCGGGATAATTTGAGTTTCATAGACCGCCATAATATAGGAATCTGGGGCTGGAGTTACGGCGGATATGTGACACTCATGTCTCTGGCACTCGATTACGCCGACCCTGTATTCCATTGCGGTATAGCTGTGGCTCCCGTCACTAACTGGATGTTTTATGGCAAGATATATAAGATATATCTTGATATATCAAGATATATAAGTCTTATACATGTTTAAGACTGTTGCAAATATTTCTAAATCTTTATAAACTGTTTTTTCAAAATTAGACTCCGTTTATGTGGAACGGTATATGGGATGGCCTCACGACAATGCGAAGGCATACAATCGATCGGATCTTCTTAATAAAGTTTCACTCTTTAAGGACGAGAGACTACTCCTGGCGTTGGGAACGGCCGACGGTTTGACTGGAAA